CTCGTGGCCGGTCGTGTAGGAGACCGTCGGGTACGTCAGGTCCAGCGCGAACCGCCACATGCTTCCCATGCGGCCAGCAAACTTCTTCGCACGGCCATACATGGGAACCACATCTGCATCTCGAGCATACAACGCACCAATGAACGAACCGATCGATGTGCCGCCGATGATGTCAACAGGGATACCGGCCTCTTCGAGCGCCTTGATCACACCAACGTGCGCAATACCCCTTGCTCCTCCTCCACCAAGCACCAAACCAACAGCTCTACCACACAGCCGACGCGCAAGACGATGGAAATCGCCTTTGAACGGGGATTGGGCGGAGTAAAGAGGCGTCTGGCGAATCCTCCGCGATGTGTACTTTTGGATTTCAGCCTGCAACACCTGGACCCGTTGTTTGAGGACTGTTCCGAAGCGCTTGGTTTCCGGATGCGAAGGCTCTGCGGTCAGTCGGAAGGCCATTTGAATGTGATGGTGGCCGCCATTGATCCATACTCGGTTCTTCAACCACCGTCGAGTCAGTCCAGGCGGACAATACCGCTCCGAGTGCAGCAATACGAGCTCCTTCCGAGCCGTAGTCTTCATGCCAAGGAGGAACCTCTCGTACTCTCCAATACTGGGGGATGATTCGGCCAGACCGACCAGAAGAATGCAATCGGCCTGCGTGATGCATGTTTGCGTCCACGGAGAGCTCACGTTAGTGTCCGCGATGTAAAGAACCATGCCATACTTCTCTTCCAGATCGGCAAGGTACTGGGACAACTTGAGCTTGCCCATCTTGCTGAAGGCATGGCGCCCTAGGTGATTCAAAATGGCCGCCTGGTTGAGTGATGTAACCCCGTTCGTCACTCCAACTTGGTGAAGAGCATGCAATAGTCGATTACCAAATTCGACCACTGGAACGCCCGCTGTCACAGGCAGGATGCCCACGGTGCGGAGATTGACTGTCGAGGTTGCGGTTTGCACACCACCAGCGTTGCTTCGTTCGACACCTTTCTCGGTCACCGGGCGTTCGACTAAATCCCGCATCCGTTGCGCAATCAGTTTAGAGACCTGGATGGTAATTCCTGGGTGTTCCTGGGCAAGGCTGTTGAAGAGCGATCTTGGGAACTTGGCCAATTCAGTATCACGGATCGCATGAAGAGTAGCCGGGCGAGTGGACTCGGTCATCACTTCGAGCTCACCCACGCTTTCTCCTTGGCCGTATTCGCCAATGACGGCTAGTTTGTTGCCTGGACTTTCAAGAACTGACCGCAATCGTCCATTCAAGACAAGATAAATTGCGTCGCTCTCGTCGCCTTGGTGGTAGATAACTTGGCCGGCGTTCACCTGTACCCATTCAAGAGCGAAATCGATGTGGAGGAGCAGACGTGGAAGGACACTTGTCAGCCTCTTCGCAAGCGTCAGCAAAGCGATCGGATACCGCTCCGCGATGCGCTCCAATGACGCCCGTGGGAGGAAGCCAACATAGACGTCCGTCTTGGCAACCACGTCGGTGTAAGATCTATAGGACGCTACTGCTCCAACGTAGCCTTGAATACCGCCGGGTTTGATCAGATACAGAGATTTCCGAGATTGCTTTCTTCGGCGAGAATCGTTGGCAGCTGTGCCGCCCGCCCCAATTGAGTTGGCGGTTGTCGTCCGCTTAAGGGTCGGGAAAGGCTCCTTCGAAGCCGCTGGTTTGGACACACCCACGAGATCTTCCCCTTTTTCGACAATCGGCACGCCTACGTCCAAGAATCCATCAATAACGTAGTACAACCCTGGGTGGCGCTCCCCCTGCTCCACCAAAACCGAACCCTTCGGGAAATAGACGATCTCGATGTCGTTACGGAGCTCTTCCCGCAAGTTGATCACTGGCGATGTGCCCCCTGCACTCGTTACAGACATGGACATCAAAGACTCCGTCTCCCCATCTCCGGAGCCTTCGTATGGGTCAATAAATCCAAAGGCGTTGTTGGTGAAGATCGCCTTCTGACGTCGGGAATCATAGGAAAGAAGCTTCGGAGAAGCGTCGCCCGAATGGCTGCTTTTGCGCAAAGCGTCACGAGTACTACTCGTGAGACCGATCCCCTTCATGATGCAATCCAAGATACAGTCGCGGAACAGCGCGTCCTCGTCCATGGTGTCTTGTCGGCGGAAAGTATGACGCGCCTGCATGGCAGGAAGCCGGAAATGGGTGTTCTCCTTTTCGGCCAAAGGAGATTGTAGCTTTGCAGGAGGCTGCTCATATCTGGGGCCGAACCTGGACGATTGAATGGTCGATAATAGGTCGCCTGGGCTAACTCCATATGTGTCGTGCTCAACGGGCGCACTCTCCGAGGTAACCACCGTGGCCGCGCGTCTGGGTGACATCATCTTGACTTGCAGCGCAGCATCCTTTCTCAGGAAGCTGCTCGATCGGCGTCGTCTACCCGCAGATGGATTGTGTAGGGCAATTCCCTTCGTGACTTCCTCAGAGCCTAGGCGATCCCGCTCCTTGATGAACTTGTCTTTGAGGCGATCCAGGGCTGCACCGCGCATGTTGTTTGGCAGATCATACGTGGTAAACTTGGTCATTTGCTTTTCAATTCCAAGCACCTCGTTGCTGAGACCAAGATAGGAATGCGCCGTTGCAAACGTAACTCTCTGTAGGCGGGTGAGGATGACCTGCACGATGTGGGCGGTTGCCCTTGGGTAGACCCTGGTCAGGCGCCGGAAAGCGCTGGCTGGGATGATTGCGATTGTCGTATCCACCATAGCACGGGCAACAATGTCAGGATGGACCGACTTCCGGCGTTTCCTGCTAGAGTGCTTCCGACCTTCATGGTGCTGCTGATGGTGCTGGTCACTGGAAGGAGTGCGGCTCTCTCCCAGATGCAGCGGGGGCACGGATGGCAGATCTCCGTTGGTGATCATATTAGAGGTATCGTCGCTGTGGTCTTGAAAGCCCAAGGAAGGGCTGTCTATCACCCCCCGAGGACTCGTTGGGATTGAGTTGGGTACACGAGCGGCGCGAAGGGCGATGCTGGAGGAACTGGAACTCGAGCTCTCGCTCTCCCGTAGTTGAATGTCCTCCGTGAACAATGAGAGAATCGAGAATAAGGACGACATCGATGCGCCATTCTTGACCTCTGTCAGCAACTGGTATCCCTGCTTGCCGTCGATATGGTGTTCCTCGTCCGAGGATTCGGCTCCGAGATGGTGCAGCTCCTCATCTGTGTCCGACTTGCCGTCTCGCATGGACTTTACAAAAATCTGGACCAACCCGTCGACTACCAGACAGAATCCTTTTTCTTCCTCCAACATAAGCGTTTCGCCCGCGATCAGCTTCCTGGTTTGCATTGTCCGGGTCAATTCGTGGAAGACAGGCCGTTCCAAGTACCCAAAAACTTTGATGGCGCTAAGGAACTCATCCAGGTAATTGGCCAGCCCTGGCTTCGAATCTCCTTCTTGTACATCGGGGAAGAGATCGACCTGCGGTTCCTTACGTTGGGGCTCGGGAGGTAGTCGACTGTACATGTTCAGAAAGCGGTACCGGATAAACCAGCTGATGGTCGAAACCATCACCAGAACGATTAACAAGCTGTTGGTCCAATTGAGGCAGTGGTCAGCATATTCCCCTCACGAACGGGACGGCAGCTTTGGGGTAAATCTTACAGCGTCGTGAAGTTCATTGTGAACGTCAGGCTCATGGAAAAGAGAGTGAACAGCCATGTGGGCAATGTGATGGTAGAAAAAGTGATGACCCAGTATAGAACGCTTGGAATGACCTGGAAAAAGAAGGAAAATACCCATCCGATCCACCCCGCCATGGTTGTAGGCACTGGGGGTAAAGGCGGGGGAGGAAGATGGGAGATGCTGTAGCTGGCGGTTACGGCGGAAGCAGACGTTGCGAGGGACAGTGCGACGGCAGTTAATGAGGAGGATGAGGGAGACAGAGAAGGAGAAGGAGAAAACGAATGCAGGCCAGTAGAGTCGACCAATGTCACTCCGTCGGCCATAGCTGATTTCTTCCTTGTCTCTTTCTTTCTGTCGGGTTCACCTGCTTTTTTTTTTCCCTTCCGGGGCCAGAGTTGGAGAGAATCCACTAGTAACGTCTAGCCAAGATTCCGAGGCCAGCAATCAAGCTCGACGTCATTCGCACATGCGGAAAAGACTAACGACACTGGATAATAAAAATGCTGTATCGAGGGAAAGTCAAGCAATCCATCCTCAACCAGGCATGTTGAAACGTGCAAGAAGACCCTCTTTTGGCTGGTTCATGTGTGAGGAGATCTGAGGGGTGAAGGAGGAGAGTCAGAAAGAAGCACGAGTCGAGGTTGCAGGGATCAAATCGTCCAAGCACACACTGTTCCGCTTGTGATCGCCATGGAGATGAAGCTCATCCACCAATGATCCTGCAACGATCAAGAGAGGAGAATGTCAGTTCTGCAGACAATATGGATTCCTTGACTTTTAGATATTTACTGTCAGCTCTAAAGAGATGAGGGTGTTCTGACCGCTGATGTTTATCTACCTCACTGTTTCCTCTGTTTCGGTGAGTTTCTACGGAGTTACATATATTTGACCGCTCCTCGCCGAAACTCCAGCAGCAGCGGTTTGGCAACAATCGGATAAGACCAAACAATCTTTGATCCTGCATGGACAGACATCTGAAGTAGGAAATTGAAGTGAAATATGCTCATCGTCTTGATTAGACACTCTATGAAACTGAGCCGCAGTAAGGTGCTTGAGTCCCTGCATGAAGTGACAATAGTTGTACTTGGAATATAAAGAACATTTTTAACATGAATGACATCCGCTTCATTTTCTTTAAATCCCATATATCTAATCTATGATCATAAGAGCGTTTCTTAAAACCTCTATTCTGTAATTATAGCTCCTAAGCTCTTTTGTATACTCTTCGCTGTAGGCTAGATAGTCGTAAGTTCGCTGCTCCTTTTTCTGCCCTTCTTGGCTGAGCCCGGAGATCTGGCCGCCCGTTACTCATTCGCTGGAGACGTCTCAGGTGTCCCTTCATGATCCCTCTCATTGTTCCTCTCAATCTTCTCCTTTTCCTTCTACTCTTCGTTTCTGATCTTCTTCGCTGCTGTTTCTCATTTGTCAATTTTGTCGTGGTCCTGGCTCGCGGGCCCTCCACGGTCATGTTTCAGGTACAGTGTCTCACGTCTATCAGTGTTTGATCGATGTTCGGAAGTATTATCCTCTTGAGCTAACATCATAATCGCATTCGCTCTACAGCGCATACGTGAGGCGATCGATTCCCGGATCGCAGAGGAACAGGCCCGCCAGAGAACCTCCCAAGATGTAGTCTCTCGATCCAACTCCGCTCGTCGCCCTACCCGCAATCTGTCCCCGGGTCGACGATCTACCCGCCCCCGACGCAACACAGGCACTCCCGTCCGCACCCCCGATCCCAACGAGTTTGAGCCGGAGTTCGCGATCGGAGATGATGAGGGGTCTAGTCGATCTGTCACTCCGCGGTTGGAGTCTGCAGGTGGACCCGAGACGCCGTCGGGAAAGGACGCTGCGGAGGACAAACCATCTACAGATGAGCCGTCGGCTGGGAAAGAGGTGCCTACGACGGAGGGAAATCAGCTGTCGTCGGAGCTGCCTCCGGAGATCAGAGTCAAGTTACGCAGACTGACCAAGTTGGAATCCCGGTATCAAGGTTCGACATACAGCTCGCGAGTATGGCTGCGGAGCGGCTGCTGATCTTGTTTTGCACACAGAACTCCTCAAAGCGTACCGTATGGCCCATGCACGTGTCCTGTCGATCGAACCGTTTGAAGCCGCGCTACGAGAAAACACTCCTCTGACATCGATTGCCGATCCGAAAGCTCTCACTGAGTACTTGAATCAGATCACATTGAAAGGGGATATGGTGATTGAGGAGCTCAAAAGAGTGACTACGGAAAGGGACGACTACAAGAAAAAGCTGGAGGAAGCGCAGAAGTCGACAAAAGAGGCTTGGGACGAAGTCGCCAATCTCAAGGACACCACGCAAGGCGCCAAGGAGGAGAAAACCGCCGCTACTGAAGATACCGCCTCAAAGAAGGAACCGCCAATGAAAGAAGAAAGCGAGGAGTTCTTTTCGTTCGATAATGAACTACCCCGATTGGAGTCCGAGCTGAAGGAGAAGCAGGAAGAGGTTGAAACTCTCAAATCGCAAGTCGAGTCGCTAAAGCGCGATCTTGCCGTCGCTCGTGAGTCCACGGAGGGCATGGTGCAGAATCTCGAATCCGCAACTCGTGAGCTCGTGGAATTGAGAGATACTAGGGACAAACAGGATTCGGAAATCAAGGAGCTGAAGGATAGCAAGCAGGCTGAGGTTGACGATGTTAAAGCCAAGCTCGCGGAATCCGAGGATGCCATTGCCAAGGCAGGCGAGGAGGCGGAGAAACTAAAGGCTGAGTTGAAGCAGAAGACGGAAGAAATCGAAAAGCTTCAGGATCAAGCCACGCAGCCGAAGGACAATGACCAGCAAAAAGAGCTGCAGGAAAAGTTGGAAGAGGTCGCCAAGGAGAAAGACGCTAGCGAGAAAAAGTTGGGAGTTCTCCAGGGTCTCGTGGACAACCTGCGGTCTCAGCTGAAAGACACGGAAATAGTGGTGTCGGATCTCAAGGCTGACATGGGAAGTAAAGTCGAAGAGCTGGGTAAGCTGCAGAACGTCGTTGACTATCTAAATAACAACCTGAAAGACAACGCCGAGTGGCAGCAAACCAGAGATCAAGCGGCGACTGGACAGTCCCCCGACTTTGACCAACTGCGAAGGAGCCTGGCACCTCCTCATCAAGAATCGGGTGGTGGCAATGTGGCTACAGAGCCAGAGCCTCCAGCAAATGGCGCGACTGGTGGCGCGGGCGCGGGTAAAAAGAAGAAGAACAAGAAGAAGAAGGGCGGAAAGGGCGGAGAAGATACGGCCAAGGCTACCGGTGCCGCTGTGGTCAAGGACAAGGAATCGCACGGAGCAGAGTCCGAGCAAGCAGCGTCGAAGTTGGCCGAACTCGAGCAAAAGATTCAGACGCTAACACAGCAGCTGGAAGAGAAGGAGGCAGCAATCGACCGACTGAGCTCCAAACTTAAAGGAGAGGAGGACCTCAAAGAGGAAATCGAGTCCTTACGCGACGATTTACTTCACCTTGGCCAAGATCATGTCGAAGCGAAGGACAAGATCAAGGAACTAACTGCAGAAAAGAAGGCTCTAGAGGAGACGGTCTCCAAGTTAGAGAAAGAATTAGCAGATATACGGACGAGCCATGCCTCCAAGAGCGCAGACTCGGAGAAGATGCACAGTGACCTGAAGGAGGACTACGAAACCCTCAAAGTCAAACTTACCACCCTTGAGACGGAGCTCTCTGCCGCTCAGCAACTGGCTGCTACTAGGTTCAAGGATCTGACGGATTTGCGGGAGACTTTGCAGAAATTGCAACCCGAATTGAAGAGCCTGCGGGCGGAATCGTCGGAACTGAAGTCGACGAAAGAGGCCCTGGCGAGCAAGACATCTGAATTGAGGATCCTGGAGGGTAAACACGAGGAGTTACGTTCCGAAGTGAAGACTCTCAAGTCTACAATCTCCGAGCGCGACGCTGAGGTTAAGACCCTCAACCAGAAGATCAGACAGGAGACAGACAGCCGTCTCAAGGCCGAGGAGAATCTGACCGTTGCTCAATCTGACCTACGATACTCGGAGAGCAAAAAGCAGGAAGCCATTGAAACAAAGGAGAAGATTGCAGCAGACCTGTCCAGAGCGCAAGATGAGCTCAAGACCGCTCGGTCTCAGCTGCGGGAGGTTGAAAACAAGGTCACTCAATTGAACAAGGAGCTTGGTGGTCTGAGGGAGGAAATTCAGCTGAAGACCGCACAGCACGCCAGCGCGCAGAGTCTGATGAACAGTATGCGCGACCAGAGTGCTGAGCTAGCGATGCAAATGAAGGAGGCCCGGGAACGCTGTGAGAGCTTGGAAGAAGAGCTGGCCGATGCTCATCGCTTGCTGAGCGAGCGGACGCGCGAGGGTGAAACCATGCGGCGCTTGCTCAACGATATTGAGGGCCGCGCCGAGGCCAAGGTGCGCGACTTCAAGGAGCGGATGGAGGCCGCCATTGAAGAGCGCGATCGGGCGGAAGACGAGGCCAACGCTCAGGGTCGGCGCCGGGCCCGAGAGCTAGAGGAGCTCAAAACCAAGGTTCGGGAAGCCGAGAAAGCACTGAGAACGGCGGAGGAGGACAAGGAAGAGCTCGAGCGATCCCAAAAGGACTGGAAGCGCAGAAGGGATCAACTCGAGGAACAGTCGGAGCGCTCAGCGCAGGAGCTAAACGACATCCGCCAGGCCATGGCACGGTTACGTGACGCTTTAGACGAAAGCGAGAAGCAAGTCCGTGACCTGGAGAAAGAGAAGGCCGAGCTGCGTCGTTCCGTGGAAGAAACGAATAGCCGACTGGAGAAACTTCGTAAATCCAACCGGATATTGTCGGACGAAACTCGTGCAGTCCAGAACCCTCAGTCCTCGCGTTCATCGATCGACTCGGGAACGAGAAAGGCAGTTGCATCTCCCGTGTCGAAGGGCCGTAGTCCATCGACGCAGAGGAGTGAAACGCCGACGGGAGCTCCGATTGACTACATCTACTTGAAGAATGTGCTTTTGCAGTTCTTGGAACAGAAGGACAAGAACTACCAGAAGCAGCTGATTCCGGTCCTGGGTATGCTGCTTCATTTCGATCGGTCAGTAACCCTATTTCTTTAGCTCCGATTTGATGCTGACATTTATGACAGAACGGACGAGCAAAAGTGGATGGCAGCCATTACATCCCGATGATTAGCATGAGCCCGAGTCGGCTATCTCCTAGTCTTTTGAGCGTATTTATCATTTGACGTTCAAGGAGTATATAATCTTGTCTTCCTTATCCCGTATGTGTATACTCCATAGATGTCATCGGCAGGGCGTGCCGTGCGGTCGATATAGTTCCAGAACCGAAGGTGGGGTTCGAGGCCGAGATTTTATTCTTTGGCCACATAAATAGGAATATCAACTTACCAACTTCCTAACATCTTCACTGTTGACTCTGCCTCAATTGCAAAGCTGTACGAAGTAATCGACCATACTCAATACCATCCTTTACGAACCCTTGATCTCACAATGTCCGGGGAAGCTACGATCAGACTGGCAACTCCCGAGGGTAAGTTCACCCCGCATTCCCTTCAGTGTTTCTCCGCACAGGTCGGCCATCGTTGCGAGAAGGTATCACGGCCTCTTACTGACTCTGTTCGGGATTACAGATGTCCCTTACATCCTCCAATTCATCCGGGAGCTAGCCGACTACGAAAAGGCCCTCCATGAGGTCGAAGCCACCGAAGAATCTCTCCTAGCCACACTCTCCTTCCCCAATGACACCCCCAAGCGAGGATCCGTCTACACCGCTCTCGTTATCCCTCCCGCCACAGCAGAGAACCCATCTCCGGTACCCGTGGGCATGGCCCTGTTCTTCTACAACTACTCGACATGGCGGTCGGCTCCCGGGATCTACCTTGAGGATCTCTACGTGCAGCCCAGCGCCCGCGGCAACGGATACGGATTCAAGCTTTTGAGGTACCTGGCTGCAAAGGTACTGGAGGTCAAGGGTCGCCGTCTGGAGTGGAGTGTCCTCAAGTGGAATGAGCCGAGCATCAAGTTCTACAAGCAGGTTGGGGCTCAGGCTATGGAGGAGTGGATGAAGATGATGGTTGAGGGGCCGGCACTGAATAAGTTGGCGGAGGGACTGTAGAGCGTCCATGAGCTCGTGGTATGATTTCATTCGGCTTGCGAAGCTTTGGTAGCGGGTGTTGTCCTGTCGAAGCTTGGTGTGTTTGGTGTATAGGTAGATATACCTTCGATGGTCGAGCGTGATACCTTTGGATTCTTGTGTTTGAGCCAGTGGTATATCATGCAACGCTTGCGTCTTTGTTAATTCCGCTTCCATCATTGATTCACATGAAGAAAACAGCCGATAACCATCTTGGAGGTATCTAGCACTCACATCTCTGCCTGTTTTGAGATCGATTGATCAAATACGTTGCTGACGCTATGTCCCTTTCAGCGGCAGTTAGGGCTAACCCTAGGCCAGCAAGCTCGGGGATGTCGTCATCGCCAGTCAACCTGGTCAGAGCGCATTATGCGGTGACGACAACTCCAGCTCGCTCCCCTTTCGCGTCAAGCCATAAAATATTTGTACAGACTATAGTCTTACCTCACCATCATTCATGCTTTTCGTAAAATTGTTCAAGCTACTATACTATGGCTTTTAATCCGGCTCCCAAGCCCGTTCAGGAGAACCACCATGTGGACTACGTCATCCGCTTCAATTACGGGGATATTGGTAGGTCGCCCTGAGGTAGCAACTGGGCCGCGATCTGATCGTTTTTAGATACCCCTCAAGCAATCAAGAGATTCGAGGTGCTTCTTCTGGAGCTGTCCGAGGTAGGATTGCAGACAGAAGTTCGACAGGGGGACGAGAACTCCCTGTTTGTTTTTGTGCGGGCTGCTAGCAAGAAGAAACTGAAACGTGCAGTTTACCAGTCTCGGTATGTAGCATTATGCTTTCTAGTGGTTGTATGCTAACGTTTTATGGTTTCAAGTGTTCGAGACTGGCTGTATGGCGTCCGGAATACCGAACCCGAGCCGGCGAGCTCTGCGGAACCGCAGTCGGAAGCTGAGCGGCTTCGTGTTATCTACCACTTGATTACAGTTCCAAAGGCAGAGGGTGGTGCGGGCATCACCCCCCGACATGGAGAGTGGAAGAATGTCAATGCGATCTTTCCGTTGCATGACGAGGAGACCAACAGGCAGTGCATGAGGGAGTGGAGCAAAAAAACGTTTCTGTCGACTGAGGATCTGGATCAGATTCGCAATACGTTTGGAGAAAATGTGAGCTTGTCGTTGGTTTATAGATGCTTTCAAGCTAACGGGAGCTACAGGTTGGCTTTTACTTTGCCTTCTTGCAGTCGTATTTTCGGTTCTTGATGTTCCCCGCGGCATTCGGTTTCTCGTGTTGGCTGCTGTTGGGCTCGTTCTCTATAATCTACACCGTGGTCAATTGTCTCTGGTGCATCGTCTTTATTGAATATTGGAAGCGTCAGGAAGAGGATCTCAGTTGTAGGTGGCAGACCAAGGGCGTTTCTGCGGTTCACGAAAAGAGAGCAGAGTTCAAGCCCGAAAAGGAAGTTCGTGATGAAAGCACCGGCGAGGTTCGAGGAGTTTTTCCTGCTACAAAGCGGATGTATCGACAGCTCCTCCAAGTCCCATTCGCATTGCTTGCAGCCGTCGCCCTAGGTGCCATCATTGCTACCTGCTTTGCGATTGAGATTTTCATTTCCGAGGTCTACAACGGTCCGCTCAAGTGTTATCTGGTAGGTGTGGTTCCAAGCATCTCTCAGAACTCGTAGCTAATTGTCCAGGTGTTCATCCCTACTATCTTGGTATCTGCACTTGTACCGACAATGAGTGCGGTCCTGCTGACTGTCGCGACCAAATTGAATGATTATGAGAATCACGAGACTCAGGATGCCTACAAGGTGGCATTGACACAGAAAATCTTCGTGGTCAACTTCATCACCTCATACCTCCCTATCATCCTGACAGCCTTCGTCTATTTACCATTCGCCAGCCGTATCGTGCCTTATCTCGATGTATTCCATCTTACCGTTCGGCCGTTCGTGTCCAAAGAGCATGCAACCAAGGCACGAACCGACTTCACCATTAATCCGGATCGGCTGCGAAAGCAGGTCATCTACTTTACCGTTACTGCCCAGATTGTCGGTTTCGCGCTTGAAACCATTGTTCCGTTTATCAGGCAACGGGTATTCCGCGAATATAAGGAATATACCAAGAAACAACATGCCAAGGCAGAGCCAGGAAACAGTGCGGGAGAAAAGAAGACCGTCTCCCTCGGCGACGACGAAGATGAGGCCAAATTCCTCAATCGGGTTCGCAACGAAGCAGAGTTGGAGGACTATGATGTCACCGATGATCTGCGGGAGATGTGTATCCAGTTCGGATATCTGGCTCTATTCTCACCCGTGTGGCCACTTGTTCCCGTCTCCTTCTTGATCAACAATTGGGTCGAGCTGCGGTCTGATTTCTTCAAGATCTGCGTCGAGTGCAAGAGACCCTGGCCTCAGCGTGCGGATACCATTGGACCATGGCTGGATAGCTTAGGATTCCTGTCCTGGGTGGGAAGCATCACCAGCGCAGCCCTTGTCTATATGTTCAGTAACGGGCATGAGGGCCCTAACGGCGAGCCGACGACAATCCGGTGCTGGGCATTGTTGCTGACGATCTTCTTCTCCGAGCATCTCTACCTGATCGTGCGCTACGCCGTGCGCAGTGCCCTGGCTAAGCTGGAGCCTCCAAACACCCGCCGCGAACGGGCGGAGCGCTTCATGATGCGGAAGAGATACCTTGACTCTGTGCTCAGTGCAGAGAGCGACGACGATGCCGATGAGGTCAAGGGTGCCGTATCTTCCGTCCCACCTTCTGAGATCACTCGCGAGTCCTTGGAACAGGACGCTAGAAACTGGTCTAAGCAGGGAACTGATCCAACCGAGCGCTTCTGGATGAGACAAAGAGGTTGGAAGGAGTCGGCCGATGTTGGTTTGAGCCTCATCACAAAAGCCAAGAGCCACGAAACCAAGAAGCAGCAGTAGATTGGATTCGAAAATCTAGTTTCTCAAGTGATTATACCCCATGCAGGAGTACTCTGGCAGCTTACTGCTGTTCAGCTTTCACAGTGTCTAGTCCAGAGCAAATAAGCATGCTCAACTTCAATTTCTTACTTGCGTCTGTACATGTAGCATCAAAGATTGCTGTTATCGCTCGGCTGCTGGAGTTGTGGCGAGGATCGGTCAATTATATGTAGAAAAGTAACCGAAACAGGCCAAACAGTGAGGTAGATGAACATCAAGTGATTATGGCACATATTTTATTCCTTCCATTTCTGAGTCTTTGGGCTACATAGACGGCTAGGCCAAGGAACAACGGCAGCCTAACTACGTTTTCTCCTATATTAGCATAGTTCTATTAGCAGGGATTAGTTAATATTCTAATTGGGTCCAGTTTGACCTGAGGCATCTGCTACGTATGATTTTCCTACGAAGAACAGCTTCATTTCACTACGGCTGTACTTGCCTGTGGACTGCGGCGGGGTTGTTCCAACATTCCGATGTTGGCACACTCAATGGACGGTTTTCGGATATCAAATCGAGCCTTTTTTCTAAAGTGGGAGCTTTTGCAGAGTCATGGAAATCGTGTCTCGGATAATTGAGACAGAAGTAGTGACAGATATTGTTGGTTTCTGTAGCCCTGTAAGCATCCCTTGAGCCTGTGTGCCTAGTCGGAAAGGGAAATATGTTGATAGGAGTGAGGCGTCAAAAGACATTGAAGGTCTGACCAACACGGAAACAAGAATGGGTGTTTCGTCTTGAGACTACCTTTCTGTTTCTATGCGTGGATGAGAAACAAAACTCGAATGCTAGCCCTGAGCTAAGTCACGAACAGAATTCTCCCCTCAATCGTTGGACTCACAATGGGCAGACCGTCCAGCTCATACATCCCACAAACGAGAGTCCTCCGAGCTCTATCTATGCCAGTGGTATTGCCATCCTTCAAGCCTTCCTTCTCGTACCCGAAGATCTGCAAGAGTAGTCCAGTATCCGTCACAGCCGTCTCCTTGTCGACGAGGGTCTCTACGCTCTGAAAACAGGTATATCCGTCAAACCCCGCCGCGATAAATGACGACATGGCGACGGTATATATTTGCGACGGCACGATCTGCTTCGATGGCGCGAAGGGTGATTGCATGAGAGACAGTTGTAGGATCCTGTGACCCTCTTGTTGCTGCCAGTCCGCGACGACGTGTAGCCCAGAGCATTGCATGAATCGTCCGTCAACGTGGAGGTCCGAGACGGAGTTTTCGAGGGCCTCGTGGAGGGCGTGTCCACTGACTCGTTTGACAACCACTGGGTTCTCGAAGGGGCAGATTTCTAGAGGGTTAGATTACTTCATGAGAGAGCCACCGGTTGATGACAGTGTCGGGACTAACCGATGATATCCTTGACACGGAGCGGTGATGATAATGGCTCGATCATCCGATCACATCTGATTGAGCCGCTGTTGACGAGTGCAATGTCGGCGCCGTAGTAGGCACGATAGGCGTCTGCGAGCATGTTGCCTAGATTCGTCTCCGAGCTGCGAATCACACTGCAGCGGCCGTCGAGCGGTGTCGTCGTGTGCACGAGTGGCTTCTGGACTACGCTGCCGACGAGCTGCTGGATCTCAGCTGCCATTTTGCATATACGGGGGCAGACTGAGAGTGAGCTGCATTCTGAGCTCTGTGCGATGTCGACGTATTGCTTGACTGGAGCTTGTTAGATGGGTGGGGTTGCCGGCTGTGGTACTTACGTCTAACGGTCTCTATTGTGGCTCTTCCGTCCGAAAGTCTTCTTGCGATTAAGCGGACAATGGATAAGCCTCGCCAGTTTGTCCCGCTTTTGACGATGCGAATGTCTCCGGCTACTTGGTCGACTACGCCATCGGACACAATGTCCTCGTTTCTCGTGCCCTGTCGGATTATCTCTGAGTCCTCTTCTGTGTCCCCGTGGAAGCGATGCAGGACCTCGTGATCATGACCCCCGAGGATCAGATCAACTTTGGCAATGCCGTGTGCAGCATTCTTTGCTATTCTGATATCCTCCGCGAGTCGTGAGTGAGAGATAGCGATCACAAAGTCACAACCCTCGTTGAGACGCAGGTATCTTGCAAGCTCTTGAGCGACCGTGGCGGGATCCTTGACGTACAACGGGGGTAAGTTCTGGCAGTTTGACGGCCAATCTCTAGGCAGGTATCTTAATCAGTGATCCAAGCAGAGAACCACTGTACAGAGCTCCTTGCTTACGTCCCAGCCAAGCCAATAAATCCGACTTTGTACCCCTGCACTGTCCTGATGATATACCGCTCGCCACAGGCAAGAGGCTCGCTCGAGACATCGCCGTCCTCAGTCACTCTAGTTACGTTGGATAGAACCCAGGGAAAGTGCACCTTGCGTGACAGTTCTACGAGTCGCTTTTCCCCGAAATCAAAGTCTGGGACATGTCAGCCTGCTTGTGAACAGTCACGTCATGGACATCCCAGACCATGGTTTCCGTAACAGGCTATATCGACATTGAGGTGGTTCAAGAACGGAACCATGTGCTCTCCTTTTAGGAGGGACGCCTCCAAGGAAGGCGAGAAGACATCGCCGCTGAAGATTACCAGTGGCTTGGGTACAAACGACCTGCTCAAGCGAGCAAACCGAGATATGAGCTCGATGTCGTTGACGTGGTACTACTCCTTTAGCAAGATTTCTATAAATGGGGGATTGTATGGAGACGTACGACATCGTTGAAATGTAGGATGCATATCTCAGTTCCCATCCTGTGATTTTCAGTCTCTTGCGCCTATAGAGAGACAAGACGATAAGAATCTACTAGAGAGAATAAAGGCAACAATACTATAAGAGTCAGTCTGATATGCCAGCACTAGACTCATTTCGGACCCCGATGCTGAAAAGGACTAACGACCAATCACCTTCGTGATTTTACTGAACATAATGTATTGATTGATTTCCCTGAGTCTCTGTTCTGTTCTCATAATTACACAACTGCGGAAGGGCTCGAAAAGAAAGCTGTCTTTGTTTGGGCTACATAGCATAATTCCCTGCTGAGTCGATCAACACCCCCAAGCCGATCACCTTTTATCCCATATAAAATGGCCATTTTCAAAGCCTTAGTATCTCAACAGCAAAGCGTTTACGGGGGTCTAGAGCTAGTCATAGAGCATAGTATAGCAATTTGCTCAATATATTAACCATATAGCCTATTGGTATAGGTATTTCTCCAGTGATGACGGCTGTATTTTTTGGTATCTTATATTTTCTTGATTTCTAGAGAAAAAAAACATTTTAGGGACTGAAAATATTAAGTGTAATATATTTTATAGTATATATATCCCAAGATTCCACTGCCCCTTCCTAATATATGATAGTTGTTGAGATATTGAGGCCTTGAAAACGGCCAATTTTATATGGGATACAAGGTGATCGGCTCGGGGGTGTTGATTGACCTCGGTGCCTACTCAGACACTGATGGCAAGCTGGCCAACAATGCCTAATGGCGGCTGAATGCTTCTGGTGGGGAAGTAAAAACTGTTCTCACCATCTTAGTGCGGAAGCAAAGCAAAGAAATCACTTTTGAGAAGTAGGAAGCAATCAGCTAGCCAACAAGAGGCGATCCAGGGAACAGGGTGCCTGAGGTGGTTCAGAAGGTGAGTAAGACCAGGGAGGGCAATGATGCGCCAGTGCATATTACTTGGGCTCCCCTGGTAATAGAATTAGTAAGTCGTTCCTCCAACCTGCGTTCACCAGATAGTCTGTTGTCCCCTGGTGATTCATACGCTTTTCTGACCCTGCCGCCAGTGTGAAGCCAAATGGCCATTTAGATTTTAGCGGTCCCGATGCCGTACGGTAAGGAGGGTCATAGATATTGCAGGCTTTGGCAGATACTTAACCGACTTTTCAGGCAATTGACTAAGATTCTCTTAAAAAGAGATTTCAATTGGATGTTGAAATACCTGACAAGAGACTTTGTCCATCAGTATACTATCTTGGCTCACAAAAATGCCTTCACACGCTAACCTGAACCCTAGGTGCCCAATAGGTGAACAAAATCAAACTACCAATACAAAATTTGCCTATGTTCTGATGGGCAGGCCAGCTCAGTGGTCTATCAATCACTAGGATTGGTGACTATGAGTAAGAGGAGCCTAGGTGCATTTTCACGTTTATTCAAAAGATCAACAGGATGCAATTCAGCCTCAGCGACCATTATTCTGCGCCTGATGGCGACGAAGTAGAACGAAGGGAGGTTTCTGTGGGATCACTCCACAAGACCAGGTGCACTTAAGGACACAATCGTGTCAATTTGCTTCGTCCGAGTCAGACTTACACATTCTTCAAAATTCGAAGTCCGGCAAGTCAAAGGTTCCATTTTGGAAAATTCCAAACAGCGGTGTATTTCGAGGAGGCTCTGCCTCGGGCCCATTGCATTTCCAGATGGCCTTCTAATCGACGTCCAAAGGTCTTGCGATACGGCAGGAGAACAGATGGTATCCACTGAAAATGGCGCGTCTTGCTTGAAAGCGGTTATCTGCAACAAATAAATGAGTCTCTAGCCTGTGAGCCCGCACTTACTGGTTACAGTCGAGGAGACTCGGCTTCTGGATCCGATGGCTGGGAAGAAAAGCGAAGAGCAAGACGATTCTGATGATGATTTGATTTCACACTCGTCTCTCGGTGAGTCGTTCAAGGTTGGAGCAGCAGCTGGACGCGTGGAGTCACAAAAGGGTGCTCAATGTTCTCTTCGTCAAGATAAATCAGACTTTGCTGCGATCTGATCAAATGGCTTTGAGGATCACTCACGGCGGACTGAATGTACAAACCGGCCAAAGATTTTTTTACTGTCAACTGCTTGCATCGGCAATCAGAACCACTGCGCCAGAACAGGGTCTAGACGACCATTTCTAGCATAGTAAAAATGATAAGGCTTATTCTGGTTGACAGCTTGTATTGCATAGTCACTTATTTTACAGCGGTGTAATCATAGAATAAAGCCTCTATAATAGTGCTGAATCGACATCTAGTAACAATATCGAACCATCATCTGGTATGAATATCGTTATCCAGCGCAGTGTGGATCTACGGAGACCCTAGATCTATTGTTACGAGTGTAGTTTCTAGCTTAAGAAGAAGGCAGGCTATATGCTCACCATCTCCTCAAGCTCGCAGACGCCCTCACTGCTAGCCCTGAATGGGGTGTATAACAACTGATTAAAAGTCCAACTCAGAATGGCTGGCACTGTTGGCTGTCGGGAGGAATGGACAGAAGTTCGAGGGGTGATCCATGGAGGACTCTATGGAGACGTACGATATCATTGAATGCAGGATGCATATCTCAGTTTCCATCCTGTGTTTTTTTCAGTCACTTGAGCCTACAGACAGACACGATGATAGTGAATCTACAGAGAGGACAAAAGCAACAAGATTATAACAGTCAGTCTGGTATGCCAGCACTAGACTCATTTCGAACACCGATGCTGGGAAGGACAAACGACTAATCACCTCAGTGATCTTGCTGAACACAATAGGTGCTTCTTGATGGGTCTGAGTTTCTGTTGCGTTCTCATGATTACTCGACTGCGCAAGGGCGCAGAAGAGAGCTGTCTTCATCATCCAAGGCCGGAGAAGTGATCGACATATCCCACAGGCGTGTGTTGGATAACCATGACGGGCCCGAATTTTCTCCTGATACAAGATGACAAATTCATCATGTCTATGCAGGCCAAGAATGCCAACACTGACGGGGCTTCCATGCACTTTCATACAATCGACACCAGTTTGAGCCTGCAAGCTAAACATTACTCCTGTGTCTATCCATTATCTAGAACTTGGAGGAGTGTTTGAGGAAGGACGACTACACACCGATTTTCTCCAGCTCACGACAGTGCTGCAATTACTACTGCTTGTGCATCTGTCTCCTAAGCATTGCTCCTCTCAAGAATTCGATTGCAATCTAATCTACAACGTCAATCCCTAGAAGCTGACAGCAGCCATTCTAATCCGCAGAAGGCTGAGCCCTGCTGTTCGTGTTCGTTCACCACTTTGTGTGGGTTGGAAATGATCGTTTGGCTGGATATTATTTCAGATTTGCCGAAAGGGATGATGTAATCTTGGATTGTCCTTATCAGGCCTCTTTTAAAATATTTCCGTTTAATTGTTGCCTGCATGGATTTCTGTTTAGTCCTTTCGGGGGACAAACGTTGGTCTGCTCCCCATGCTCGAGAATCGGATGGAAGCACACGGGAAAGCAACAGAACGATGGACTATGGGATTCTCCGACGAGAACAATCTTGTTTGCTACCGGTTTGGTCTCGGTATTCTCAAATACTGGGGCAGATTTCATCACCAGCCAATCAGTAAATGGCGGTGCCTGGCTTTTCGTGTTCGTTCATCACGGCATGGTTGCGAATACGATCGTGAAGATGATCTTCCGTCTAGATCGGTGTATATGGCCTATGCTAATCAAACTGTAGCACTGCCTGACTGGCAGGGATATAAAGCGCATTTGGGCGGCTGAAGGTACGCTTGTGAGATGTTCCACAGCACGCCTTTCTCAAAAGACCCCAGCATAGTTCAGCATGTACAAGTCTTCTCTTCCGGTCATCTTCAGCATCGTAGCCGGACTAATCTTTTCTGTGCCTTGCGCCGCCGTCAGTCCACAAGCACGGTGGACCATCGGACAAACAGTTCAGACCTCCAGCGGGCCCGTCCGAGGACATGCCGCTCCTCATGCTAGCAATGTGTCGGAGTATCTAGCCATTCCGTACGCCTTGCCGCCAGTGGGCAACCTGCGATTCCAGCCTCCTGTCAGGTATCGGGGGAACACCACAATTAGTGGCGAGACCTTTGTAGGGGCGCCTTGTCACCACTCAAGAGCAGAAACCACAGCGCTGACAATGACAGGGTCCCGCATGCATTTCTTCGAATCTGACAGCATACGACGACCGACTGCCAGACAAGCTCATTGAGCAATACGGCGTCACCAGCGTCGGCCAAAAGTTCTTAGCAGAGATAGGGCATCCCAATGTGACTTTCAGTGAAGATTGTCTTACCCTGAATGTCTGGACGAAGCCGCAGACCGGCGAGAAGAAGAAGGCCGTGATGATCTGGGTACATGGAGGGTCCTTCGTCTCCGGTATGTGTATCGTCCTGAGACCATCACAGCGTTGATGCTCACCCGGTTCAGGAAGTTCGGCAATTCCAATGTACAATGGCCAGTTCTTTGCCGACCAAGAGGACATTGTCCTTGTTTCTATCAAGTCAAACACCCATCCCACGCTTCTTTTGCAGCCAGATGCTAATTTTTGCTATAGCTATCGCCTCAGCTTTTTCGGTTTCCCCGGAAATTCACCAAGCAGCTTCAACCTAGGTCTCCTGGATCAACGCTTAGCAGTCGAGTGGGTGAGGGACAATATCGCTGCCTTTAGCGGTGACCCATCTCGAATCACTCTCTTCGGCGAGTCCGCCGGTGGTACCTCTGTTGACCACTATTCATACGCCTGGAAGGACGACCCCATCGTCCATGCCCTGATTGTGCAATCCGGCAATGTAGCTCGCATCGGAGGCCGCACCGCTGAGCAGGCCCGTACGCTCTGGCTCAATGCTTCGGAGGCTCTCGGCTGCGGAAACCAGAGCACACATGATCAACAGATCTACGACTGCATGATCACCAAGCCTGCTGGGGACATAGCTCGTCACCTTGTCAACACCATGGCCACGACCGTGAACCTACCTTACAGCCCGGCCGCCGACGACATCCTCGTCTTCAGTAACTACGCGGATCGCCCAGCGGCTGCCGTTCCTATGCTCGTTGGGACCACCGACTTTGAAAACGGCCTGTTCCGCGTCTATGTGGACGAGCCGTTACCTGACGACGCCTGGATCCAGCAGAATCAGGCTCTCTTCAACTGTCCGGTAGCTGCACGAGCCAATATCTCTGTTCAGCAGGGCAATCCGACTTGGAGATACCGCTATTTCGGCGAATTCCCAAATATGATGCTCTCCACAAAGGCGCCTAGCGGAGCATACCACTCCTCTGAGGTGCCAGTGCTCTTCGACACGGTCGCACAAGACCTCATTCCCAATACGGCTGAGGAAGTCGCCATCGGACGGTATATGCGTGGTGCGTGGGCTGCATTCGCTCGAGATCCAGTCTCCGGACTAGAGCGATATGACGGATGGCCTCAATATGAGGCGGGTGAGGAAACACTCATCCGGCTGGGATTCAATAATAGGACCGGACCGAACCTGGCAATGGGCAATCTCTATGATAAGGGGTGTTGATATTCACGATCATGAGATGAGCTCTCCTAGCAGGATTGAGTTATGGTGTCGCACATATATATATACCAGCTTTGGGATTCCAAAGAGGCACTCAAGCGTCCTTTCACAATTCACTGAACGATCCAGCGTGCAAAGAGGGCAGCCCAATTCCATATCATGGAATCATAGATGTCCAGTTATTCAACTCACCACAGTAGAAAACTGGGCCTTCCCAGCCAAGGGTCTGGGATCCAATTGCTGCTATACTCGGATCTACCAGAGCAGACCATACCACCCAACCTGGCTACTTTAAGAATAATGGAAACTGACAACCCTAGCTCTTTAAATGCTGTTGTCTAGACTGCATATTACTTTCTAAGTTAGCTATAGCATTCTGTTTGCAAGCCTTGCTGCTTCCTTAACTTGCAGCTTTTTCTGCGAGATTCTGGTGCTGACATGCTGTATCATCAATTGTAATAAGAGCTGCGGTTGGGATGGGCACCGAGTGCAGTGTCGAACAACCCCATCCTATCAGCTAGCACTGTCTGGGGGCTCGTTCCAGGAACAGCTCTCTTTGCTCCAAAGTGGTACCGGATTGCTCCACTAAGTGCATCGTCATGGCAATGTACGCACCCTTTGAAATCTCCTCCAGCAGTATTGCAAGACGACGAACATTGGCCGATACTACCTGTAAAGGCAGCAATCTTATCAATGTCAGTGGTGTCAACTGTCGAACCCTTACTTTTGAAAGGGAAATAGGACGGCGGGTAGAGCCAGTGGCAGTGAAAATAGGTATTTGTTGAAAATGCATGACGACGGTAATGATGCTTATTCTGTGAAAGCTTCTTGATGCATAAAATTTATCAACCTTCCAGAGAACACTACTAGATTTTATAGTACCTTTTTAACATGGTTCTGACTCGACTATCTCGTCCAAGTAGACTGCACGATACTGGATATTGTCCTTGTCAGCCTGCCCGCCACTGTCTGATGACTGGTAAACTGTTGGTTCTTACTGTAGTAGTACGGGGGTTATTGATGTGGTGCTTACCATGTGTTTGCTTACTGCTTTGCTTACTGCTTTGCTTACTGCTTTGCTTACTGCTTTGCTTACTGCTTGGCTTACTGCTTGGCTTGCTGCTTTGCTTACTGCTGCTTACGCCTATCACAGGGCCCGAGTTCACGGTAACGGGTGAGATAAACCTTGTCCTGCGCACCGTCGACGTGGGACTGTATCATTGGGTGCTACTTGGAAAATGAGGCATTTATTTAATGAAGCAATTGCCTCGAATTGCCTTGGTGGCATGGGCAATTCCCACTCTTTAGTGAATGCTAACGTCACCTATGGCATATTGCTCTATAATATAAGGACGAATTGTTCTCGACTTAGTTTCACATCTTCCCTAGATGCCAAATTCACCAACCTTTGATCTTCAGCATGTCAGAGGCAGAAAGTATGATTGAGCCTAATGTCCTTGATGAATCTTTCATTACATCAGGACTCTCTAGCCTCAGCATCGGAACATCTGAGGGCCCACCAAAATCATCACTGCAGACGCGGAAGGCAAGGCTGGTTCTGCTACAGCCTCTAGCCAATGCTAAGATGCTGCAAGCCTGCCGTAATCCGCAATCGCGCAGGATTCTCAAAAATAATTGCCTTTTTACTTCCAGTAATGAGCTCCTTGATATCCAACCACTTAGTAGGGCGTGGAGGCAGGCAATAATGAATGTCCCGCCCTTTTCACATTTGATATTCGACATTACTCTACCTAAGGAGACTGAAAATTGCAAGGACACATTTCAGAAAGTACACTGGGACACTTTTCTTCCAGAAGAGAATAGTCTCGGTGTCCCTTTGAGGGACGTTACGACTTTGGTCAGGACTATCGCCACCGAGATGAAAATGCGAGCAAAGGGTGATGTGTGGTTTGACGTTGTCTATGATGAGATTGAAGGTTCAAAAGGAATAGCGCCGAGGGCAATGGCGATTCTAAAGAAGCAGCTTATTGCACTGAGTGGGCAGGTCCCAGAGGTGAAAGATGCAGGAAAGGGCGAGTTCGATGGAACAGCGGGTGACGGTGACACAACCCAGGCACCTGAGCAGTTTAGTTCTTGTCCGAAGAGCGTTCAGCCCAACAAATTGGTGTTTTTCGACAAATCTGGCGAGCGTCATGAGATTTATCTGCCCAAGGGTACTATTCAGAAAGCTCTCGACCTTTTACAAGACGAAAACTGGGATGAGCTTCTCAAATTCCCTCCTTATAGTGAGTCAAATCTCTAAAGCTTGTTGATCGCCAGGCTAATATTCTATAGCGGATCAAGGATATAAGGACTGGGATTGTGCGGACATGACCTAGCCAGGAGCCATCCACAAGCTTCAATGGGGCGTTCCGCTTCAGCCATTTCTTCGCGCTTTCTTTGTCGTTAGACAGCTCCGGTGACTGTCCTGAGGCTCGTCGTTTGTTGTAATCTTCCCATTGGCGGTATATCTCCTGTTGCTCCGCGTGTAAGAAGGCTTCTAGAGCGGTATGGTTGTACCTCTCCAGTCCCAGGATGCTCCGTGTGGTGTTTTGTTGGCGCTCTACTAATAGACCCCGTAGAGTAGCGAGAGTAGGACCTGAACTGATATGCTCTTGGTAAGATCTCGGAGAAATCTTCCAGGTTGTGAAGTTTGTGGTACAGGGCTGCGTGTGAGGGACCCCCTGTTGAGCTTGGGCTCGAAGCAGATCCAGCCCGCGGAGAGGATCTATCACGGGAAGATGCTCGTGTATTGTTCAAAGTCGAAGAGAATATTCTTTGTGGTGGTATATTTATTGCTCGACGGATGACACATAGAAGCCACAGACTAACGGCCAGGATACCGAGTATAGTTGCGAACATGCTGCCAGATGAGCGTGAGGGTAATGCGTTTTCACTGGCCAGTCAGAAGCCGCGGCATAGAGTCCTCGCTTTTAATATATAATATGATATGCCTAGGTGGCTCATGCTCCTCGTTGATGCTACAGTCCCAATAATCCGTAGGTTACACTTAGGCCATACTAGTAAGCAAGCCTCGCAAGCCAAGGACAGGGGTGGGCCTGGCTGGCTTTCCGAAATACCGGCTGTTCCCTCGTTGCACTGACCATTCTACTGTACCTAGTATCATCCTGGAATGACCATAAGTATTATTCCTGTCTTGTTGCCTGGATAAGTGCCGTTGCCTTCCTACCTAAGATACCATCACCTGCCCTTCTTCAAGACACCCGTGAAATGGCCCACGAAAACGCCCCCCTTTTCCCCTGGCAGGGAAACAAACATCACGCTCACTGAACCCTATTTCTGGTGTGCGCCGTCGTTGTCACAGTCGGCTTGGCGGCGATCTCTCCGAGGCCCCCGAGACCCATATCCTCGGGAGTATAAGGATTAGAGGAGTCTTAGCTGGTCCAGCTTTTACAGGCGCATTCAACTGCGGATTACAGCTGGAGGAGCGTGGATTGGGTTGCAATATCTCCTGACGGCTGGTCTGTTTTTAGGCGCTGCGGCGGTTGTTATGGTTGGCGCGACGCTTGATCGTTCCGATATTGTCTCGGAATGATACGATAGAGAGAATTTAGAGCCCCTAAACCAAGGAGTTGGTGATTGTATCCAAGCCGTACGATAGCCTTGACGCCATCTCTGATTGCTTAAGCATTCTTTGCTTTGACAGATCGCCACTCCATGAGCAAGCTCCCAATCAACGTCGCACATGCCAATCCGACAGCCAGATACCAAGTTTCACCAAAGCTCCTACCAACGCCCTCAAGAACCAGTCTGCGCTGAGCTGGGGGAGCACGTCCCACGATATCCGACAGCCCGTTGGAGTCAATAGTCGCGGGATCCAACCCCGGGACTACCCGGGCCAGGTTGGCTGAGAGTTTGTTTGTGAAAATAACCTGAGCTATGGCAACACACACAGAAGGACCAAAGTGCTGGGCAAAGAGCACAATAGATAGGCCCAGTGAGGCATCACTAGTGGGTAGAGCTGTCTGTACAGCACTAATTGGTGCGTTAAAGCCCACTCCACTTGAGAAGCCGTATGCGCCAGGGTACAGAATAAGTCGTATAAAGCTTGTATCAACTCCAAAGGTTGTTATTAGACCCGCGAAGATAGGTAGTAGGGTGGAAGAAAAGAGCATGAATGGCGTGTAGTAACCAATTATGCTAGTTCCAGATCCGCAGAGGAACATTCCAATGGTGGAGCCAACAACAATTGGCACCATCATATAACCTGCTGTGCTGGGAGGGTAATTGCGTACAACCTGATAGTAGGTTGGTAAATAATACCCAAGTATATTAGTAGCACTATTGGAGCACATGGTAAAGACTGAGGCGGCAATGACGTTGCGGTTCATGATAAGACGCGGAGGTAAAGTAGCAGCATCACCTTGTCGGTATTGATTATATGCAAAGGCAACAAGCAGAACAGTAAAGGTGATAAGAGGACCAATAACCTTACCATCATCCCAGGCGTATTTCGTCCCAGCCCAGGAAAGGGCAATGAAAAGGCTGGTCAGCGCAGGAATGAATAGCAGGCTGCTGACTGGGTCAATTTCGATCAGCTTTTGTTTCAAGGACTTGTCCATATCACTGGGTTTTGGATCTGAAAACAGAAATATAGTCATCAAGAGTGAGACGGATCCAATTGGTAGATTGATCCAGAAACACCACCGCCAGCCCAGTGATTCAGTCAGAACTCCACCAATAATCGGTGCAGCAAGAATAGCTAAACTCTCAACCATGCCTAACACACCGCAGAAGAATGGGCGCCGACGGAGAGGCAAGATATATACAAGAATCGTGAATAATCCGCCAATAATTCCTGCAAAGCCTGTTCCAGTGACAGCTCTCCCTACAATAAACATAGAGGATGTCATGGCTGTGGAACAGAGCACAGAGCCTACTAGGAATATAGCCTGTGCAAGCAAGAATATAACTTTGATAGAGAACAGCTTGTATAGCTTGCCAAAGATGAACTGGAATGCGCAGGAGCAGAGCCGGAATGCGGAAGAATACCAGCCAACATCAGCAACGGTGTGGAAATGGTTGGTTATACTACGAAGGCAAGAATGATTAGTTGTTCAACACTCAAGCTTTAGAGAGGACATTGATTTTCCAGTACGTACCTGGGCACAGCGGTCGCGACGATATTGGTGTCCAGCCCTCCAAGAGTAACTAAGGCACTCATGGTGAGAAGGATGAGCCAGAATTTCAACCCGGTCGGGTACTCTTGAGTTTCTTCATCCGAGGCTGGGCCTGAGTCTGAAGTATTTCCTTCAATCCCCGTAGCTGTACTGACCACTCCTAGCCTACGCATGGGGACGGCAGCTTCACCTTCGCAAGCACTTGTCGTCGTTGTTGCAGTTCGTGTAGCCATAGCGACAGCGAAAGACCAAAGGATGAGTAGTCTGTCTTGCGTGGTTGAAGCGCATCCAACCTCGCTTATATGGGAAAAGGGGCTTTTGGAAATCAGGTAATGATCCCTGCATCAGTTGCAATGTCGGAAGCTGGAAGACGATCTGGTTGGCGTAGGCAGATACCTAGTGAGCGGTTAACATAGGGAATAATGCCAACTCGGTCAGTCGACTGCGCAATTATTAGGCACCTATAATACGGAATATAGTTGATAATTAGGTTAAAGAATGAGTAAGCGAGGCTGTGACTGCTAGTAGTACTGTATTCAATCCACTCGAAGCCCAAGGTGCTACTACCTCTGGTTGGTAAAAGTGCGAATGCAGCTTAGGTGTCTTTAACCATATCGTCAGGTTTATTTTGTTCTCGATTTTGAAGGCACAGGATCAGACTTATTGTATTGCTTATGGATTACTGTATTCCGAGATTGGCACGAGACGAATGCGTACTGTATCCAGGTGAGATTGTCTTCGCAGCTTACCGTCTGTTGGCTTTCACCTAACATGGCTTGTCTTCGCTGTCGACAAGATCACTGTATAAAGCTAATCCATGTGGTTAAAATATCCCGATGCCCCTGGTAGCTGTCAGAGTATAAACAGACAGCTTCGAGTGCCGCTGGTCGATAAGCCACAAGTCGATGAACAACCACCAGCACCCATTGTGGCAGTCCGTGGATATTACAAATAAGAAGCAACAGCGCTGCTTCAGGAGCCCTACAAGTAGGACGAGTGGTGAGATAATTGGGCACTTGCTCCCTGGTACCAAGGCGCACTCTTTCGATACTGATCTCTACAATCAGCAAGGTGAGTGCGTCGGTGTATATGCCGAGTCGCTAGGTCTTAATGAAGCTGGGAGCGGGTTCATGCGGGAGCTACTATCAACAGCCAGTTCAGCTCCCATCGGCAGAAGCAGGGCAGCAAAGCTCATAATACCACGCCTCCGGGGTTACATTGTACGAGCCGACATCATTCCGCTACGCATGGCCCAATCTCCGAACATGATTCAAGCAACATCCTTCGCGAATCCCCAGCAATGGTTTGCGGGAGAGTTGCTAACGGACTCTGATTTCTGCCAACTCTCAAACGTCTTCCGTGCTGCAGCTGGAGGTGTCATAATTGATGTTGGCGGGTTGGAACATGACGATGTGGCGGAAGCTCTGAATACTTTCGAGAGAGAGATCCGGAATCGACTGTCATTCCCATGGATACTAGAAGACCGAAGGCAGACCTTGGCATTTGTGGCAACTATCTACGCTATCCCGGACACGGGGGTACAGGATGCAATTACTATGCCTTCGCAAAGACCTTGGACATTAACCTGGTGGTCCTGGATGCTCCTGGTTGCTGGCTTGAAGATCCACAGCATGCAGGTCTACGAGGCGCTTTCCTTCCGTGTAACTTGTCGCGGGATGCTGCGCTCTGTGATTGAATCGTCGAGGCTCTGACACATTACAAGGGGAAGATAAATGGGATTATCACCTTCCATGAATCCCTACAGTCTGGAGTAGGGAAGGCTGCAGAGCTTCTTTCCCTTCGTACATTGCCACTAGAAGCTCTCGCAATAGCAGCTGATAAATACCGGACTGCTATTGCAGCAGGACGTCCAGCTTATCTTGCAACCTGTGCCAAGGACGCGTCAAGCATTTTGGAGCAGCAAGAATTACAGTACCTATTGATCTTGAAGCCGTGTCGAGGATGGGGCTCCGAAGGAGTATATAAATGCAGATGATCCCATCATGTTTGCCCAGGCAGTTGGAGCTATTGTCCAGCACACCGCTCAACACGGCCCAAGATTTGTGATCGAAGAGTATTGCGACAGACCAGAAGTGAATGTCAATCTGGTTCTCAGCAATGGTAAATTGTTATTTGCCGAAGTCTGCGACGAACCCCCCAAACGAGGTGATGGATTACCCGCAGGGAATGTAGTGAGCTTTATCGAGCTCGACACCTTTTATCCTTCAAGGCTACCGTCACTCGAGCTCAATATGCCTGTTCGCGACCTGCATCACACGTTACTGCGGCTTGGGCTTCACTCTGGCGTTTTTCATATGGAAGCCCGGGTCATAGACAGGTAGATGGCAGAAACTTGGAAGTGTGATTACCATGGAGGGTGCGAACTGGTTCTATTTTTCCTTTTTAATATCAGCGCCTATTCATCTTTGAGACGCCATTTAATCAACCCTTGCTGGTTACCAGGATTGTTGTGCACGAGGTCGCATTGCCTAATGGCAGTGGTGGTGGCTGGGGTCTCCGACTCATATACATGCATGCATGGTGCACTGTGCAGCTACCTAATACTAGACTTTTAAGTAGTAGTATTATGACTTTGTTCATTAAAGCAACCCCTTATAACTTGATCTTAAAGTAGTAGAAATAATTGTAAGGTAAAGATAGCTATTTTAGGGGATAAGAGACCTAACTTCTTAGAGGGACTTTATAAAATGTTAGCAGTAATCAGACTACTCAAGGAGGATGGATTATTAGCTTATGGTTAGTGATCTAGAATAAGTTGATTAAGCCTCAGCCAAGTTCACTGTGAGTCCCCAATGTCAATGTCATAAAAATGTCGAATGTTGATGACCCGCTTGAGGGGTACCTAGCAGATCATCCAACTCTGGAGACAGATTCAAGGCTAAATACCACCACATCGCGCTAATGTATAGCTCTCAAACCCCTGTCCCAAACGGTCGGGTCCATGCAATGACTTTAATGTTGCTGCTAGGTCAGTTTCAATCTAATCCTGGAGCGAGTGAGATGGTACTACTGCATGCCCAGCAGCGGACCAGAGATGGAAGGAGACAAAGAGAAAAGTACTAAGAAGCGATTCAGCTCCAACAATCAAATACATGATCCATCCCTGTCAAGCGTTCAAGTTGGACACTTAGCCACCAACACCGCCCGGGGAATGGGCAACGCAGCCCCGTCAACACAATCCTGGTACCCGACCCAGATAAGCCCGGTGAAGCGGGCAGCGGTCTCTAGCGGCCCTGATGCAGTAACTTGGAAGGAACTCCTTCATGGTCAATAAGTGCTGGCCTTTGAAAGCTCGAACCGACTCCGGTCCCTCGCCATTTTAGTTTCGCTTCGTGAAACTCCGCTTCACCAGCAACCTATGCAGGTCCAACATCAATCGTGCATTGGACTCAATGAGCTTTGTCGCTAGCCAATAGCGGTGATGTGAGACGGGCGATGAACAAACCGAGAATTAGCAATATAGCCGCATTGTGGCAGGGTCTGTCAAGTTGTCCGCGCTCAGCGGCGTAGGCAAGATCGTCGAAAGAGAAGAGAACAAGTCGGGGTCAAAGAGGTTGGAACGATCCCTGCTGTCGAATAGGGTGTCGTGCTTCAGAGTTGTAAGTGTAGACCAGCCGGGTGCGGAGTATATTTGCGACCCAAGGCTGTATTGTAGTAGTGCGGAAGGGATGGCGGCGATTATAGAAAATCAGACAGTGAGTTGATTCAGTTTTGTCCGAGTATGGCCTTGTTGCATTGCCACTTGTTGTTCACAGACTCATTGTAGGACTACAACAGACGATATATCAATAACCAGCGCAAGTCTTCTAGGCAAGGAACGAGAGAAAGGATTGTACAAAATGCAAATTGATACAGAGACCAAGCGAAGCAATCGAAGCAAATCCAGGAGTTATCGAAGTCGCTGGGTGACGATTGAAGCGAGCGAGATGGCGACAACATATAGTATAACCTGAGAGTAAGACGACTATTATGTCAGCGGAGTACTCGCACTAGTAAACACATAGAGGAGCCTCGTTCTCATCCTCAACGAACACCTCCTGGACCACTCATTGTCCAAGAGCACCGGTGTTGTGATGCCCGGGCTGGTTTTAGACTGGACTTTGTAGACATTGCCGAGAGAGTATGGAGGAGACAACCTGTCAAAAAGTGTCTTCGTATTACCAGTAAGATGATGATGGCGCTGATATGACTGCCCTTGGTCTCAATGCGGCAGAGCTTGTCAGAAAGCTCAGAGAGCGGATACGGCCCATCAGCCTGGAGATGTCGATCTCTGCCTCCATCCGACGATGCCGATGTAAACAAAATTACTCATACGGAAGCATAGCTTAGTAATACGCGTTCCATTTCCATCGCCGGAAGTACCGACCCCGTCCGGCGACTCCAGCCACACCGGTGTTGTTCCCTCACGTCACTTTTTTTGCTTTAAGTAATCTCTTTCCTTCCCTCCTTTCGTGCTTACGAGATCATTTTCCCACCCTTCTGCGAAGTTGCAAGTCATCAAAACCCACCAATCAGGCTGATTTATCTGTTTGCTTCCACAGCAAAGACCGATCTTCCGACGCCCATCTGCTTACCTCATCAGCTTCTCTCGCCCATTCTTCCTCATCATCCTACTCCCATCTTGCGTGACGAGTGACTGTGCCATATAGGCAGATCTGCTTCTTTTGCTGTTCTCTTGAACTAGCTCGAATTGATTGCGTCCTGTGTGTTTTCGTTGGGCGCATCTCTGTTGTCTTGTTCATAATGCAACCGGCATTAGCACCTCATCCTTCTGCTCAGGTAAGCAGCTTCTTGTCGCGGTTTGTCATCGGATCGTCTTCCCCAATTTCCCCAGATCCCAAATCCCCCAGCTGCTGTGTCATCCGGTGGGACTTGATATCCTTCATCGCCGTCGCCGTGATTTCCTAGGTCGCGGTCTCTATGACGCGATTGCGACCGGCCTTACCTGCTTCCGTCATGGATTTTCGACTCTTCTGCCGGTCGCATCGACAGCTCGCTGTCAACCACTTCTTCTGTTCATTCGCTGAAACCTGATGCTAATGTTGTTGACGTTTGTAGGACCATGCGGATCAGGGTAAGCGACTCTTCATGTTGTACCAGTTGAGAATACAGCACAACGCGCGCGTTCCTGCGCATGCTATGCATTCCACCCGCCGGCACCTTTCAACACTCGTCGCATTACGACAGCTAACATCATATCTCTAGTGCTCCATGATCAGCTTCTAGCTGCTCAACATCAGCATCTGACGCATCCTCAGCAAGCTCGACCCCAACCTCCTGCACCGCAACCTCCGCACATGCAGCCCAACACGCCGGCTCGCGATCAGAATAACATCGATCCTGCCATTTCAGGCGCTACCATGCTGGCCGGCCCACCCCAAACTCCCAGCCAGCCTGATGTGACTGGCCAGGAGACCCCAAAAACCTACGGCAAACGGCCGTTATCCACCTCGAAACGCGCCGCACAGAACCGTGCCGCGCAGGTACGTGCGCTCCTAAGAACTGTTTACGAGATTTTGTCTAACGTGCGCGTAGCGGGCGTTCCGTCAGCGGAAGGAAGCGCATATCCGGGAGTTGGAAGGCAAGGTGAAGGCATACGAGAACATGGGAGAAGCGATCAAAGCTCTGCAGGCGGAAAACTACCAGCTCCGGGAGTACATCATCAACCTGCAGTCTCGCTTGTTGGATTCTCAAGGCGAGGTTCCGGAGCTGCCTGGCAACATCGACCTGAGTCAACCGCGGAGTGAAATTCCTGTGCCGCCTATTCCCAACTCGGGGACGACCACCTCTACTGCTGCCCCTCCTCCGACTGCACCCCAGCAACCCCAGCCTCCTCACGCTCAAGCCCCCACATCGAATGACGATATGAACTCCTTGAACCGTATAGCTGTTGCCGGGCTTGGAATGCGCAAACCTCCTACCGAAGAGGCAAATTATCTTGGCAACAACTTTCAGGCACAGGCGAGACGCGTCCGTCCTGATGACGGACAACCCGAAGCTTCGGAACTGCCCAAGCAGGAACAATCACATGGGCTCCCGCTCATATCATAGGCCGTTCCCAATGTCCTCTTGTTAACTTCATTCTTGTTCTTCTGGAATATCATTGGTCTCTTCTATTGCTGGCTAAAGGCCTCCGCGTTTCCCTGCCTGCAAGCCAATTCTGCGATGTTTTGCCTTGGTTGTCTCCGGTGTATGGCGCGATTCTAGTGGATCTATAGTGTTTCTGGCCCTGTTTGAGGCGGAGTTCTGTGTTCTTGCTTTAGACTGGAACCGGAGGGGTTGGGACGTTGATGTTGTCTGTATGATTCTTGTTTCCAGATGGTCCTATAATGCATGTCTCTCAGTGCTTTTCAATGCTCGTTGCTCCTTTTGCTATCCCTGTATCCCACCTGTCCTTTGCTGACATCGGCGGGCAAGGTACGCAATTCAGAAGTCAAGAGGTGGATCCTGCGCAAGGAAATGTGGTGATTTGATGTAATTGGCTTCATCTCCTGGGCAATTTTTCTGGAGAAGGGCCGGAGGCTTCCTGCGGTGGTACATTTATCATGTCGGGTTATTGTCTTGTGATTGCGGATGCTACTCTAGAAACGGAGTGTATACATGTCCCCTTTAATTGATTGTAATCATGACGAGAATGTCTTTCACTGGCCCCGCTGAACTTGATCATTGGGACCTTACTGTTGTCTGATAAGGGAGTGAACGAACTCTCACTGGCTGCGTCTATGATATTTTAATACTGTGATACCATTGGCAACAGGGCTGCAGAGCTGCTTTATCTGGTGTCCGTTTCATCAACCCCACCAAACTCTCTGTTTCCCCCTCAACTCGGCGTTTAGATCGAACCGCATTCGTCGATGCGCCATGCCTTCAAGATCATCTCAGATCTGTTTGTGATTTCCTTTGCAAATGGCAGGAAAGTGAGGACTTTGCTCTGCTGGTCTGCCTTACCTAGGTTGTCACAATCCTTCGCAATGGCCTCCACCGTTACTGCATGCCAAGATGCCTCTCCATACCAGCCACGGAATTATCAGCTCGAGATGCTGGAGGCTAGCATGAAAGAGAATATTATTGTGGCAGTATGTTCCCTGATTCCCTATGTTAAGCTTCAGAACGGCAGTGATAACGAGCCTTTAGATGGATACAGGGAGCGGCAAAACGCATATGTATGTCTGTCTGTGTGGTCCTTGCTGGGCTTCATTGCTCCTTCCCCTCAGTGCGGTACCGGGCCTTATTTTGACAGTCAACTGTAGAGCAGTACTACGAATCAAAGCAGAGCTGGACATTTGCCCTCCACACAAGGTATATCCTCATTGATCCTGAGCACTGGCATTTCCCACTTCCAACTGTGCTGATCATTCCCTTTTCAGCTCGTCTGGTTCCTGGCCCCGACGGTCGCCCTGTGTATACAACAGCATGAAGTGATCGCGTCCAATTTACCAGCAGTGAGAACGCGGACACTCACTGGACTCGACAAAGTCGAATTATGGACCGAGCAGTCCGTCTGGGACGCTATTCTAAATGGTTACCAAGTCATTGTATCGACGCACGCGGTCCTTGCAGATGCCCTTAGCCACGGCTTCGTGAAAATGTCTCGGTTGGCTCTGCTCATCTTCGATGAAGGTAGTGTACATTCCGCGCTTTACTCATGGAAAGAATTGTGTTGATAGAGAAGAACTGTAGCGCACCACTGCACGCGAAGGCATACCGCAAACAAAATTATGCGGGACTTCTACCATCCGACTTTAACGAAATCTGGCCCCGTTGCTGTCCCTCGTATTATGGGCCTAACAGCCAGTCCGGTGGTCAGATCGAATCACCAGGAGCTCTTGTCAGTGCGCTCAGCTATTGTCTTTGCTTAACCTTGCTGACTTGCCATCCAGGACGGTCGAATCCAACCTTGATGCGGTATGCAGAACACCACGCGTGCACCGACAAGAACTCCTAAAATTCACCCATAGACCGCACTTGCAGCAGATTTGGTACACGCCAACTGATCCTACGGGGTTCAAGAGCGCAAGTCAGACTTTGGGGGCCCTTTCCTACGCGTGGGAAACCTTGGATATCGAGGATGACCCCTATATACAGCGGCTCAGAAAAAGTCCCCTTGACAATAAAGCTCTGCAAAAAGCGCTCTTGACGGGCAAAACGTATTGTCGGGAGCAGTTGAGAAGGTTCATCGATCGAAGTCGCCATATCTTCGAGGAACTCGGAGAATGGGCTGCCGAGTACTACGTCTACGCGTCCATCAAGCAGCTCAGAGATCGCGTCCGCGACTCGTATATGAGCGGCGACTGGGACGAAGCCGAGAAAGCGTACCTAGTAGACTTTCTCTCCAGAATACCGGCTTCAGAGACTCAGCCTGCATTGAGAGATCCGGAGAGTTTTCGCATCTCCCCGAAGTTTGAATCTCTCCTCAACTTCCTGGACTCCTTGGATGAGCCGGAGTTCTCGGGGCTGATCTTTGTCAAGCAGAGGGCAACAGTCAGCGCCATGAGTAGCCTTCTTTCAGTGCATCCTTCCACGCGCGAACGGTTCAGATGTGCTGCCTACGTTGGCTGGTCCAACGGCAGCGCCAGCAAGGACATTCTCGGCGATCTCTTGAACATGCAGTTACAGCGCGATACACTGGATGATTTCCGCAGCGGCCGCAAGAATCTCATCATAGCCACAGACGTCCTCGAAGAAGGTATTGACATTAGTGCCTGTAGCGTCGTCGTGTGCTATGACAAACCACCCAACCTCAAGTCCTTCGTCCAGCGCCGTGGGCGGGCGAGGCGGAAGCAGTCGACCTTTGCAATCATGTTCCCAGCAGACGATGTGTCTTCTGATGTTTCAAGGTGGCAAGGTCTCGAACAGGCGATGATAGAAGCCTATCAGGATGATGAACGACAGCTGCAAAGCGCCTCAGCTTTGGAGAGCCTGGACGAGAAAGTCACGGAGCGGCTTACTGTCGAGTCTACGAGGTATGATACCTTTCACTTCCCAAATTCCTTGAATCTTCCCAGTAATGATTCCTTATCATCAGCGCCGTCCTCACAGCCGACATGGCCATGGCACACCTGCACCACTTCTGCGCCGTGTTGCCTCCTCAGCCTTACGTGGACATGCGGCCCGTGTTCTCGTTCCAAACGAACGAGGATGGACTTCTAAAGGGGACAGTAATCCTGCCCAGTTGCGTGCACCCGAAGGTCCGGCGCACTGAGGGTAGAAGGTGGTGGCACACAGAGAGAGCAGCGATGAAAGAGACTGCCTTCCAGGCTTATAAAGCTCTGTACGAGTTTGGCCTCGTCAACGATAACCTCCTGCCGTTGACGAAAAAGCCAGAACTAAAGTCGCACGACTTGGGAGCTATGCCCTCGATATTGGAGACGTCGGGACAATATGATCCATGGATTGAATGGGCCTACTCATGGTCGTCGCCTGATATCCATCAAAGTCGGATCGTGGTGAGAATGAAGGAAGGGCGAGGCGATGAGCTGTGTATGCGGTTGATGGGACCTACGTACTTACCGCCCCTCTCGCCGATGACTCTGTTTTGGGACAATTCGACCACATTTACTGTGACCTTTGAAGCAGCAGAGCGGGTACCCCTCGTGCCCTTGAGCAGTGTCGAGGACATGAGGGCGATTACAGCACTCTACCTCGAGGCGACCAGCTCTCGTGTCTGCAGCTCTGAGAGAGATTTTACGGCACTGTTCGCACCCGATCTGCATCATACAGAGCTGAAGGGGTGGCTGAATGCATATGAGGGATGTGACCCAGCCACGGAAGTCTACACGCGTGGCCACAACCCACTGCTCATGGGTGTGGTTCGGGATCATTCGCGTTACGGAGAACCATTTTTGTTCCGAAAATGGCTTGTCTCCGACCAGAACCCGTCATCTTCAGTCGTTGAGTTGGAATGTGCTCCCTTTCCGAATAGACGCAATCTCGTGCATCGTCAGACGCTGGCTAATAGCCGGGTGGATGTCGATGTAGAAACTCCCGAGTCTGCAGCCAAGATCCACATTGTCGCTGCAGATGCGTGCACCATCGATAGGCTTCCGTTCACAATGGCTATATTCGGCCTGTTCATCTCCGCCATTGTAGACCGATTGGAGATTGGACTGATCGCAACCAGACTCAGAGAAACGATCCTCAGAGATGTCGGTTTCACGAGCACTGATCACATCATTACCGCAATCAGTACCCCTTTCGCTCACGCACTGACCAATTACCAGCGGTACGAGTTCCTAGGCGACTCGATCCTCAAATTCTCTGTTTCCTGCCAGTTGTTCTTTCAACACCCGAACTGGCACGAAGGGTATCTCTCCGAGGGGCGGACCATGATCGTTCAGAATCCGCGCCTTGCCAAAGCCGCGCTGGACACCGGCCTGGACGCCTACATCGTCACCAAGAACTTTGCGTCGCGGAAATGGTCCGCTCCGTTGATCTCGGAAAAGCTGGAGCGAGTGCCGGCCAAGCGCCAGATGTCGACGAAAGTGCTGGCGGACGTGGTAGAGGCACTGATCGGAGCAGCATACATGGATGGCGGCCACGCAACCGCACAGGCATGCATCCACCGACTCTTGCCCGAGGTCAACCTCCACGCGGTGGACACCCGAACCGCAACCCGGAGTGTGGCTCCCGAAAGCGCCCGGCATATGATGAACGATCGACTGAAAGACCACATCGGCTACACATTCCAGGACGAGTCCCTCCTCGTCGAGGCCCTCACCCACCCTTCCTGCGACTACGACTCGACAACCCAGTCCTACCAGCGCCTCGAATACCTCGGCGACGCAGTCCTCGACATGGTCATCGTCTCCGCGATCTTCAACCACCCCATCCAACGCCCGCAAGGCGACATGACCAAGATCAAGCACGCCGTCGTAAACGCGAACCTCCTCGCCTTCCTGTGCATGGAATTCGCCATTTCCGAAGAGAAACTCGACGTCGCACAGATATCCAAGGACTCCTTCGCCGTGACTTCCTCCCAGGAATCCGTCGAGCTCTGGCGCTTCATGCGCTACCGCGGTCAAGATCTCAACGCCGCCCGCGACGCCTCGCTC